CAGCTGCTTTGGGCCTCCAAGGAGCGTGCAAAAGGTCTCCCGCTAGGGTCAGAAGCGCTTGCTCTTCAAAATGCGTCCCAGAGACTCCAAACTTGCTCTTCGGGTTCTCTTAGGACTCGGACGCTTGTTCAGGTGAGAGCAATACCTGGACACTACAACACCTGCTAGATTTAATTAAGTATGTTGCACAGAAGCACTGCTTCTGAGCCGAGAAAAGTAGGCTCGGCGGGGTGCAACTATCGCTTACATCATGCTAAGAACTGTTTTGCAAGTTGCGGTAAGTTCAGAATTTTGTTGAGGAACTTATTGCATGGCAAAGATCCTCGGTTCTTATTATGCACCCCTAATATAGAATGTATCGGTAGCCTACAAAACGTAGGTTTCAGCAGCGTAAGGCAGGTAATATGGGGGCGTTAATAATTAGAATGGGGTTTGGGGGCCCACTATACTATAATTACAACAAAGAACCACCCCAAAATAGTATTTGGGGCCCACTATACTATAACTACAACAAAGAACCACCCCAAAAATAGTATTATAGGTAATTCTTCAGGCCCCCAAAAGTATGGTCGTCCTGCCCTGCCGTGAAGAGTTTCGAGTCTCTGAGCCAATCGAGGCCGGCGCTTCCCCAAAGGCTCTATGAAGTCATATGTTAAAGCTCTCGGGCCTAAGAACCATACATATGCTTAGCGTTTAGGGGTTTAGGGGTTTAGGATATACTGTTTAGTGTTTAGGGGTTTAGTGGTTCAGGGTTTAGGACATGTCGCCTTTTGTGAGCCTCAAGGTCCGGGTGTCTAGCCTTAAACACTAAGGGAGGCCAATCCGGCTCAGATTGAAAATGACGAGTCTTCTCGCCCAAGCATCGCAGGCAGCACGGAGAGTGCTTTCCTTCGGGACTGTGGGATGTCGGGTTCCTTTCCCTAAACCCTAAACCCTAAACCCCTTAGAAGAATCTTTCAAAGGCCGGCCTTCATACGGAACCCTATACTAGGATGCCCAGTAAGCTAGGAATGAAAAGGGCTCCCTTTTTGGTATTGGGTAACTTCATAAGGAACCTCAAAAAGGGAATAAGGGTACTACTGGGCATCCTAGTGTACCCTAAACCCTAAACCCTTTAAGGAGACCGTATTCTTAAGGATTCCAAGGGTTGCTGGATGTTGCTGGAGCCTGGAGTCGTTTGGTCGAGGGACGTGTTAGGGTTTAGGGTTTAGGGTCTAGATCCCTGAGTACTAGTGAGCCACCCTGATTCAAGGACCTTAGCCTCAGGATCCCTATATTGAAACCCCTGTCAAAGGAGAAGGCGGCTCGTTAAGCAGAGACACAAAACCCCTAAGGTAGAAGCCAGAAAGTTGGAATATGATTATCCTAACCCTTCTATGGTAAATTATAGGGTATCCTACCATGAAACCATATTCCAACTTTCTGGCTTCTGCTGTAAACCGAAAACCCCAAACAGGAAGACACTTTTGAGGGCGGCGCTTTGAACTGACTCGCTGGCTGCTGCCAAAGGTTCGTGGGCTTTGGGGATTTCTGAGTTTCCGAAAATAAGGTTTAGGGTTTAGGGTTTAGGGTCCCCAATATAGTAGCCTAAATAGCAGGATCCTTACTTATTGTTATATGGACCCCAAAGTAAGGTATCCCCTTGTTTTCGGAAACTCCCATTTAAGGGTTTGGCGTTCAGGGCCCTGAGACTCTAAACTCGGCTCAGGCAAACTCGAAATCCCAAGGGAAAAAACCAAGCTCCAAAGACGAAGATGCCCCACTCCAGGGTTTAGGGATTAAGCCGAAAGAGCACGCTACGAATTAGATCCGCGCTTCATTCCCTGAGCGTTTACAATGTGATGTTTAGGATTTCGGGTTCTTGTGGGAGGTTAGAGTCTTTCTTACGGGGCTTCAGGGCCTATACGGATTTTGGGTTTGACATAAATTGGATTGACAGTCGAAGGGGAAAAGGAGGGACCCTTAATGGGGACCCCTACCTACCCGGGGGTCCTTATTGAGGGTCCCTCCTTTTCCCCTTTGAGAAAGGTTTTGGAAGCTGCAAAGCTACCCACTGTTGAGCCAAGCTGCGCCCCTTCATCCTGGGACTCCGGACAGCATGTTTTTAGAGTCTACCTAGAGGCTCATACCCTACCCCTGTTTTTGGGGCGCCTACTTTTTAATATTACAGATCCTAAGCATAAAACTAGGTATCCCCCAAAAAGGGGTAGGGTATGAGCCTCTAGGTAGGAGATTTCTGGTCTCGGATCGGGGGTTGATATCTGACTGGGGTGTCGAGGCCAAGTCTGCAAACATGCTGTTGTAGAGAGAGGCGACAGGACAAATTCATTGACATGGTGATGGTGACTGCATGAAGTTTTCAAGCTATTTACGTGTGCATCATGCTGTCTGGTGCTCCAGCTCTCACTCGCAACAACAACAACAACATCAACGGTGAGGACGTTGCAACTGATAACGACGACGACGATCATCACGATGATGGCGATGACTGTGACTTGCTGCTGATGTCGTCATCCTGCTGCCGCATCTAGGACTATTACAGCCATAACGATTACTAATCTTGCTGCCGCAGCTGGCTGCTACTGCTACTGCTCGTGCTAGTGCTAGCGCTAGTGCCAGTGCTAGTGCTACTGCTCATAATGCTGCTGCTGCTACTACTACTACTACTACTACTACTACTACTACTACTACTACTACTACTACTACTACTACCACTACCACTACCACTACCACTACCACTACCACTACCACTACCACTACCACTACGACTACTACTACTACCACTACTACTACTACCACTGCGACTGCTACTACCACTAGTACTACTACTACTACTACTACTACTACTACTACTACTACTACTCCTGCTGCTGCTGCTGCTGCTACTACTACTACTACTACTACTACTTCTACGACGACGGCCAGGAAAAGGTTCCGGGTTCAGAGTTTAGGGTCAAGGGTTTAGGAATTCGGGCAAAAGTCTTCTGGAACCCTGAACAAACCTCACAAATCTTTGGTGCTGTCGCTTTATGTTCTATCCTATCCTTAGCCGTTCACCCTCAACACTAGACCCTTAACCTTGAACGTTTAACCTGGATGTCAAGGTCTGACTCTGAGTCCCCGTTAGAGTCCCTACAGTATGTGAGGATACCACCTTGTATCCGAAAGTCCGATTTCAATTGACAACTAGGATACCCAGTAACCTAAGAATAGAAGGCCTCTCTTTTTGGTATTGGGTAACTTTATAAGGAACCTAGGACTACCAAAAGGGAATAAGGGTACTACTGGAGATCCTAGACAAGGCTCCTACATCACAGAAAATCACTCTTTTACGGGCCAGTTCAAAAACAAACACAGACTCCGCATAAAGAACCTTAGCGGCCCGTGTAGAAGCCCTACGGCTGATGATACAAATCCTGCATTACCTAAATGACCCTGGACTAAGGGAAATATGATATATTCCTTATTCTGGGTCATGCAGGATTTATAGCATCAGCCGTAATGCACATTGACTGCACAGCCCCAAAAACCCAGACAACAACCCCATAGGCCCTAAATCCCTAAACCCTTAAGCCTACACCCCAAACGGTAAACCCCAAACTCTAAACCAACCCCAAAACGCCGCTCAGGAGCATCGACTGCAAAGCCATGGCCTGTTTCAAGCGTGTCTGGATCTGCTGGGCACTCCTCTGCGCGGAGGCCTCAGTACCCAAAGGGTCCAATATAGGGCACGAATAATTCGCATAGGGTTTTGGGGTACACATTATACTATGACTATAATCAGGAACACCAAAATAGTAGAAGTAAACTACAAAGGCCTCTAACCCTAAACCCTAAACCCCTAAACCCTAAACCCAGGGGTTTAGGGTTGACGGATGCCTGTGGCTTCGGGGGATCTGGCGGTTGAGTGCTGTTAGGGGTCGGATCTATGAAGGTTACTTACCAAAAGGGTCCCAAGTACCTATATGGGAGATACTTGCCCAGACCATAACAGTAATTCCCATTCTAGAAACCCCGCACTATATATATATATATATACACATATGTATATATATATATATATACACACACCTACTTCGGACCCTTAAGCCCTAGACCCTTGTAGAAACCATTAAAAGGAACCCTTTAAGGAAAACCTTTAAGGGAAGACTCCCAGCTTTCTATTACTGTCTTGCTGTGGTATAACCTGTGGTTTTCTATAGCTTCAGCAGGGATTCGTATCACGCTATTGTCTTGCTATTGTTATAACTTGTGGCCTTCTATAGATTAGTAGAGACAGATTCGTGTCATGATTTTCTAGTTTTGGTGCTTCTGGCGTCTCCCTTGAAGGAGTTTATGGGTTCCTCTGCTAGCCTTACCAGGCAAAATATACGTCTGTAGATCCTTACAAACGAAGCGGAAACCAACGCGTGGAAAGGTATTCTATGTGAAGGCTCATTGGGCGTAGTCACAGGAGGATAACCTAGGTAACTGAAGCTTTGAGTTCGGAGATCCCCAATCATGGCACTTATAGCGTTACATACTCAGTTGCCGCCTTACAACTCAACGAGTCACCTAAAGATAACCCATAAAGTTGGGATATCCTAAAATCACCTCCTGGAGTAGGCCAATAGGCATGTGCCACTCAAAAATGGGTCTTTACGTGCTCCTGACTTGATGACGTTTGAGGTTCAATATAGAGGCTTCAATTCAAGCCCAAAGTGTCCTAAGTACTTATTTAGTCTAGGATGCACAGTAGCCTGGGAACAAAAAAAGCTACCTTTTTGGTATTGGGTGGCTTGATAAGGAACCTAGGACTACTAGTAGTAGAACGTTGGGTTTCTGTAGTAGGAGATACAATTACTAATATGGTTTGGACAAGTATCCCCCATATAGGTACTTACGACCCTTTGGGAAGGGCTTCTGTACACATCTGCAAAGCAATCTGGAAGCGTTCCTTACGGATCTACAAAGGTTGGCCTAGAGTGTTAAAAGGTTCTTTCACTGTTCATTAGGCATCTTCAAAGGTCCGTCTGGTGCTCCGAAAGGGCGTCCTAGTCTTCGCGGGTTCTTCAGAATTCTATAACTAGGATGCCCGGAAACCTAGGAATAAAACGGGCTCCTTTTTGGTATTGGGTAGCTTGATAAGGAACTTGCGACTGAAAAAAAGGGAATAAGGGTACTACTGGGCATCCTAGATAAGAGTTCGTTTAGGCAATTACTAGTCTCCTTTACCCAGACCCCCGGAAGGATCTAGAAAGTAGATCCCCTAGTTTGGGGCCCTATAAGGGAAGTTTATAGGAACCCCATTAAAGGATCTATTTTTGGGGGGTCTGGGTAGCGACCTATGATAGGTCGCTTGCGGCTCTATGAGACCTCTCTAGGGCCCCTATCGAGGTCCATCAAAATTCGTTTAGGGTTCTATAACTTAGTTGCTGAGTTCATAAACCCCCCAAAAGGTGTACACTTTTAGTTTTGTAGTAGATAATATTATCCCAAAAAGTGTAAAGTGTATCCACTCAGCTACTAAGATAAGCTTTCTTTACCCTAAGGCTCCATAGTAGTTCCTTTTTAGGGTTCATATTTAGAATCCTAAAAGGTAATTAACCCCAAAAAGGAGCTACTTGACAGTCTCTGGGTAAGAGGTAGTTTAGTGGTCTAAATAGGTTCGCTTCGGGTGCTTTGAGCTCTCGAGGATCGTCGTGAAATTGCAGGTGATTCTCTGCGTAAGGGCGCTGTAAGGTATTTGGCTTTCTGGATAGACAGTGACTCCTATAGTTCTAAACATGCAGCCCTATACTTCCACAACCTGAAATGCAAAGCCCTCACAAAATCCTCAACCCCTGATATCAAGTCGTGCAAACCCTCCATATCCTATGGAATCCATGGCCACCTATAGTTCTGTCTTGTATTCCTGGCCAAGGTGAACTCACAATGCATCACTAGCGTTATGACACGACCCCCTAAACCCTAAACCCTTCAGGTTTCTTCTATCCTAGCGGAACGAAAGGTTGACCTTTGGGACTATGTACAGTAGGCCAACAAGGTTAAAGGTCACATACGTACCCTACCACTAGGTTTCAATTTTCCAATTAGAGCAGCGGGAAGGCCCATAACAACAAAGTGGATTAGGTTGTTTAGGGCTCAGGAATGACAGTACCGCTTCGGGACCCTAGATTGAAGTACAGGGGTCTTGGGCTCTCTGGGCACTGGTGTAGTGTACGGGCCTTAGTGTTTAGAACCGCGTTTTGGACATTATGGCATCATCCTATTGAGGAGTCACCAGGAGTGGCATCACTGAGTAATTCTTGAAGCCACTATTTGGGTACGGCACCTTAATTTAGGGTACCCCGCAAGGGACCATAATTTTGACAACCACCCATATTGCTTTGGGGACCATGGTGGTTCTGAGGCATCGGTAAGTGTAGAGATTGTTCTCACGGACAACCCTAAACCCTAAACCATGGGCCGCCCGCGCCAGGCGGCGGCCGGTACCACTGAACGCTACCGCTTCGAGATCTGCTTGCTTTGCCAAGCAGATCGAGTCTCCCATACCTGATTTGGCAATGCTCACCGTATATAATGGAGTTACCCTTAACCCCTAGCGCGCGACCCCGGCGGGCCTCCTTACGGGACTCCTTCTTACGGGGCCAGTCTCCTTACGGGACGGAGGCGCTTACCTCCTTACGGGACGGAGGCGCTCACGGGACGAGCCTCCTTACGGGACGGAGGCGCTTACGGGACGGGCCTCCCTACCTTACGGGACGGAGGCGCTTACGGGACCGGCTTCCTGGCGCTTACGGGACGAGCCCTTGCGGGACGAGGCGCTTACGGGACGAGCCTCCTTACGGGACGGAGGCGCTTACGGGACGGCCTCCTTGCGGGAGGCGCTCACGGGACGCTTACGGGACGAGCCTCCTTACGGGGCTCCGGGACGGAGGCGGGCCTCCTTACGGACGGCGGCGGCTCCCCGTAAGGCATGGCCCTTCCCGTAAGGACCCTCTCCCCGTAAGGGGCTCCGTAAAGGCACAGTCTTCCCGTAAGCCTCTTCATCGTCCTTCTCTGTGAAGGGACCCAGCCCCGTAAGGGACCCTCCCCGTAAGGACTGGCCCTTCCCGTAAGGACCCTCCCTCCCTGTAAGGGGCTCCGTAAAGGCACAGTCTTCCCGTAAGCCTCTTCGTCGTCCTTATCTGTGAAGGGACCCAGCCCCGTAAGGGACCCTCCCCGTAAAAACTGGCCCTACCCGTAAGGACCCTCCGTCCCCGTAAGGGGCTCCGTAAAGGCACAGTCTTCCCGTAAGCCTCTCCGTCGTCCTTCTCTGTGAAGGGACCCAGCCCCGTAAGGGACCCTCCCCGTAAGGACTGGCCCTTCCCGTAAGGACCCTCCCTCCCCGTGGGGGGCTCCGTGAAGGCACAGTCTTCCCGCAAGCCGCAAGCCTCTTCGTCGTCCTTCTCTGTGAAGGTAAGGACCCTCCCTCCCCGTAAGGGGCTCCGTACAGGCACAGTCTTCACGTAAGCCTCTTCGTCGTCCTTCTCTGTGAAGGGACCCAGCCCCGTAAGGGACCCTCCCCGTAAGGACTCCCGCAAGGACCCTCCCTCCCCGTAACCGTAAGGGGCTCCGTAAAGGCACAGTCTTCCCGTAAGCCTCTTCGTTGTCCTTCTCTGTAGCCCCGTAAGGGACCCTCCCCGTAAGGACTGGCCCTTCCCGTAAGGCCGTAAGGACCCTCCCTCCCCATGGGGAGTTCCGTGAAGGCACAGTCTTCTCGCAAGCCGCAAGCCTCTTCGTCGTCCTTCCTCCCCGTAAGGATTCGCCCTTCCCGTAAGGACCCTCCCTCCCCCTCTTCGTCGTCCTTCTCTGTGAAGGGACCCAGCCCGTAAGGGACCCTCCCCGAAAGGGGCTCCGTAAAGGCACAGACCCAGCCCCGTAGGGGACCCTCCCCGTAAGGACTGGCCCTTCCCGTAAGGACCCTCCCTCCCCATAAGGGGCTCCGTAAAGGCACAGTCTTCCCGTAAGCCTCTTCGTCACCCTCCCCGTAAGGACTGGCTCTTCCCGCAAGGACCCTAAGCGGCTCCGTAAAGACACAGTCTTCCCGAAGCCTCTTCGTCGTCCTTCTCTGTGAAGGGACCCAGCCCCGTAAGGGACCCTCCCCGTAAGGACTGGCCCTTCCCGTAAGGACCCTCCCCGTAAGGGCGTAAGGACCCTCCCTCCCCGTAAGGGGCTCCGTAAAGGCACAGTCTTCCTGTAAGCCTCTTCGTCGTCCTTCTCTGTGAAGGGACCCAGCCCCGTAAGGGACCCTCCCCGTGAAGGGACCCAGCCCCGTAAGGGACCCTCCCCGTAAGGACTGGCCTTTCCCGTGTAAGGACCCTCCCTCCCCGTAAGGGGCTCCGTAAAGGCACAGTCTTCCCGTAAGCGTCTTCGTCGTCTTTCACAGACTGTAAGGACCCTCCCTCCCCGTAAGGGGCTCCGTAAAGGCACAGTCTTCCCGTAAGCCTCTTCGTCGTCCTTCTCTGTGAAGGGACCCAGCCCCGTAAGGGACCCTCCCCGTAAGGACTGGCCCTTCCCGTAAAGACCCTCTTTTGTGTAAGGGGCTCCGTAAAGGCACAGTCTTCCCGGAAGCCTTCTCTGTGAAGGGACCCAGCCCCGTAAGGGACCCTCCCCGTAAGGACTGGCCCTTCCCGAAAGGACCCTCCCTCCCCCTAAGCGGCTCCGTAAAGGCACAGTCTTCCCGTAAGCCTCTTCGTCGTCCTTCTCTGTGAAGGGACCCAGCCCCGTGAAGAACCCTCCCCGTTAGGACTGGCCCTTCCCGTAAGGACCCTCCCTCCCTGTAAGGGGCTCCGTAAAGGCACAGTCTTCCCGTAAGCCTCTTCGTCGTCCTTTTCTGTGAAGGGACCCAGCCCCGTAAGGGACCCTCCCCGTAAGGACTGGCCCTTCCCGTAAGGACCCTCCCTCCCCGTAAGGGGCTCCGTAAAGGCACAGTCTTCCCGTAAGCCTCTTCGTCGTCCTTCTCTGTGAAGGGGCCCAGCCCCGTAAGGGACCCTCCCCGTAAGGACTGGCCCTTCCCGAAAGGACCCTCCCTCCCCCTAAGCGGCTCCGTAAAGGCACAGTCTTCCCGTAAGCCTCTTCGTCGTCCTTTTCTGTGAAGGGACCCAGCCCCGTAAGGGACCCTCCCCGTAAGGACTGGCCCTTCCCGTAAGGACCCTCCCTCCCCGTAAGAGGCTCCGTAAAGGCACAGGCTTCCCGTAAGCCTCTTCGTCGTCCTTCTCTGTGGGGACCCAGCCCCCCCAGGACTGGCCCTTCCCGTAAGGACCCTCCCTCCCCGTAAGGGGCTCCGTAAAGGCACAGTCTTCCCGTAAGCCTCTTCGTCGTCCTTCCCTGTGAAGGGACCCAGCCCCGTAAGGGACCCTCCCCGTAGAACTCCCGTAAGGGGCTCCGTAAAGGCACAGTCTTCCCGTAAGCCTCTTCGTCGTCCTTCTCTGTGAAGGGACCCTCCCTCCCTGTAAGGGGCGTCTGGTGCTCAGATTATTGCGCTACGCACTTCTGACTGACCGAAGTGATGCAGCAAACTGAAAATGCTCTAAACACGCGAGAAAAATTACTTCGGGTGGCTGGGGTGGGATCCGCTGCACTGGAGCGGCCCGACTGGCGCGGGTCGGGACGCGGCACTGACACACACCCTATACCCTAAACCCCAAACCCTAAACCCTAAACCGCCCAACACGATCCCACCGATCCGGAACTTACAAGCCGCAAGATTCCAACCTCAAATCCCGGAGCAGCCACCCAGAGCCTCCAAAACCCCTTAATTAAGGAATATACCTTAAAATCATATTAGGGGTCCTATTATAATTTAAGGTATATTCCTTAATTAAGGGGTTTTGGAGGCTCTGGGCAAGGTGTTGTTTTTCAGCTCATGCGGGTGGGTTTAGGGTTCAGGGTTTGGGGGTGTTGGCTTCGGGCCTCAGGTTGCGGCGTGAGTAGTTTTACTCTGTGCCAAGGGGGTTTGGGACATCCGCATTGTCCGAGTCGCCCAAGCATCGCAAGCAGGTCGCAGCCGTCTTACGGAAACCTCGCGGGAAAAGTACCACGATTGTGGCCGCCACGAGGAGTGCGAAAGGAACCAGCGGAAGCAGGCTTGTGTCCTTGGGCCAAAGATTCAGAATGTGGGCTGTTCATGACGTTGTTCCTCGTTTAGGAGGGTCGTGGTCTTGCTTGCTTCTGGTCAGATATTTAGGAGTTTCAGAAATTAGGGGGTACCTTATTTTGGGTCCTTATAATAGGGATCTTGCTATTTGAGGTGCTAATATTGGGGCCCAAGGCGGACCCTAAAAACACGGGCAGAAAGGCACTGCTCAGAAGCCTAGATAAGGTTTCTGTCGGGATTCCAAATAGTACAGTACCCTAAACAGTAGGATCCTTATTATAAGGATCCCAAAATAAGGTACCCCTACTCTTCGGAAACTCTAAACCCTAAACCCTTTCTCGAAGCCTCATAGGCCCCTTTAAGGAACCCTTAAAGGATCCCTCCGCAAGGGTTTGGGGGTTCAGGGTGGCGAGTCTAAGCTGCCATGATACCCTGAACCCTAAACCCTATCTTAAGCCGGAAAAACCTACCTGTTTCGGCTTCCTTATTATGATTTCCTTATATATATATGCCCTTAAAAAGGTAGGTTAGTCCGGCTTAAGGTACACCCTAAACCACAACCCTTAAACCCTAAACCCAAAAACTTACCTCGTTTGGGTCTAGGGTTGATGGGTTTGGGGTTTAGGTTTCAATACGGCCTCAGCCTAAACAAGCTTAAGTTAAGCTTTCGATGTTCTTTTCGTCCGACTGCGGGTGGTAATTGACGTAAACCCCTGAACTACACTAAGTTCTTACTTGTAAACCCTCAGGCCTGCCACCCTAAAGCCTTGAAACCTAATATCGGGGCCTGAACAATCAGAATAGGGTTTTGGGGCCCATTATGCTGTATTTATAATAGGGGGCCCTAAACCCTAAAACCCTGAAGTAATTTTGGCGTTCTCAAGGCGTGCTGCCAGGCATCATCAGTAGAGACGTAACAAAGCACGTGAGACATCCAAACCACCGAAGCCAGCAAGCAGCCACCTTGTTCTGGGAGCTCTCATGTTCATATGGGAGTTTCCGAAAATTAGGGATACCCCCATTTTGGGGTGCCTGTAATACGGATCCTACTATGCCAGGTATTCTATTAGGTGACATTAGGGTCTCTTAGGTTCGGAAACTCCCAAACCTGCATAGCCTAGACATGGCAGCTTCCAAATTGGTCGCGGCTTCCGGATTGCTTAAACCCTAACATAACACCTACATTGCTTCAACCCGAAACCCTGAATCCGAAACCTTACAAGCCTTTTGGCTGAAAAAGTTCACAGTGCTTTCGTAAATAACATTACTTGGAGGGGCAGGGGACTTAGTAAGTAGGTTTCAATTGGGGTAAAGCCATTTAGAATACTTATAACTCTGCTTATAATCTATTTACTAAGTCCCCTGCACCTCCAAGTACTCCCTAAACCCTAAACCCCATAGATCCCTTTAAGGAACCCTATAGATCCCTTTAAGGAGCCCTTTAAGATCCCGTTAAGGAGCCCTTTAAGAGCCCTTACTAAGTCCCCTGCCCCACCGGAATGAAAGCAGACGATGTGCGACACAGCCGGTCGATGGAGCAGAAGCCCTAAACCCTAAATCCACCCTAAACTCTCAAGGTGTAGGGTTTGTTTAGGGTTTAGGGTTTAGGGGTTTAGGGTTTAGGGTTTTGGGATATTCTTCCTGCTCTCAAGCCTTCCAGCTTCGAACTTGACATCATGCATCTTCCAACTGTGCTTGTGATAAGGTTTCCGTTGGCTTCAACTGGAACCTGTGCGCAGACCCCCGAGAGGATCCAAAAAGTAGATCCCTTAATGGGGGTTCCTATAAAGTACCCTTGGCAGTATAGGGCCCCAAGCTAGGAGATCTACTTTCTAGATCTTTTGGGGGGTCTGGGTGACGCAAACAAAGAAGACAGCTGTTCATGGGGATCCTCGGTTTCCGTGTCCTGCAGTGAGCCAGAAACCCCAAAGGTCCAAAGTACCAAATAATCAGGTACTCGGTTTTAGGATTGTATATATGTAGGTTAGGATTTCGGAGAGTATATGATTATAAGGTACCCTGACCCTTGGGGTAACATAAACTGATAAGATAAGCTCACAGGACATCCAACACATGAACCTGGCAAAGGCAGTTGCAGTTGGAAACCTGCGCATCTGTTTTGGGGGCCAGTCTTTTTGACTTTGCGGGTATTACGCTGCAAGAATGCAAATAAGACATCAGGAACGGAGAGTGAGGAGCCGTGGCTGAGTCAGGTTGGGCGGGTGGGTGGGTGACTTGGTGATTAAGAAAGGCTATAACGAAAATAGGTAAGTAGATAGGTCGGGCAAAGATAGCAAACCCGCACATGCATAGCTCGTCTTTGCAGTGTTTCAGAATACATATATGTATGAGTGTGCAGAATAAACCACATAAACACATGCATAAACAAATAAGTGTATATGATCTACGATATAAATAAATAAATAAATAAATAAATAAATAAATATATATATATATATAACTGTTCAATAATCCGAAGAGCACAGCGTGGCAAATGCCACCAAGCTGCAAGGCACCATAAGCGCCACGACGCAAACCCGTGATCGAAAGCAACGGTAGTTCCTTAGGGTTTAGGGTTTAGGGTTTAGGGCTTAGGGTTTAGGGTTTAGGGTTTGCGGTTTAGCGGCTTTGGGAAAGGATCATAGTTACTTATACCCCTAAGAAACGTACTTATAACCCTACTTACTAGGTCCCATGATCCTCCAAGTACCAGCACTCTAGGGGTCCAAAGGGCCCAATAGTTTGACTCGGTTGTAGGATAGTAGCTATGCAGGTTAGTATATCATGAATAGGTAAATGAACCTTGGGGTCACTGACTATTGCTCACCGTCCAGAGTTCTAGGTCTAGGTCTAGATAATTCGGATGCAAGATGATGCAAGTCTGGGGTACACCCATTTAAGGTCTCGGGCTTAGGGCATATCACTACTGATATCACGAGACCGGAACTGCTTCAATGTGGGTGTCCCTTCTATTGAGGGGCCCATATGCTCAGGCTCCTACCGTCTTAGCACTCGAACTGAAAGGGAGAGACTGACGGCTACTACGTCGCTTGAACGGAGTGGGTTATATAGAATATTTTGTTCTGTTTGGTGATTCTCTTTGAGGGTTTAGGGTTCCGTGAATTGGGGTTCGGGGTCTTTGTTTACCTACACAGTGCAGGATTCATGCAGAAAGCAAGTTCTGGCAAGTGCTTGTCAGAAACTCCAAACCTCAGTTCCTAAACTCTGGACTCTAAATAAGCCATATTCTTCCCGGAATATGAGTCTGCGGAGCCTATGGCCTATGGTCCATGGACCACAACAACATACACGTTGGCCTTACAGCAGTCCCTATATGGACACTTCACGGCCAAATTATATACTATTCGGGTACCTGGACCCTCAGGGTTATTCTAACTCCATTCCCCTCAGTAGGCGAAAGAAAGTAACGTTTGAAGATCCCCAACCGCAGGAAAAACAATGCCACCACAAAAGTACAACCCACCAAGAGCCTTGAAGTAGTAGCCTGACAAACGAAGATCCCTCAAGGCCCTTCTTAAGGTCCTAACCCTAAACCCCAAACCCCACAACCTAGCACCCTAAAGCACACTAAGCTAACTGCCCAAGGCTCGTATTCTGCAAAGCTAAGCCCCACCTGCGAGCCGGCGACCACCAAAACGTGGCTCTCAAGTGCTCTACTGTTGGTAGAGCCCTTATTTAGGGTTTAGGGTTTACGGTTTTATGGTCTTTGATCATGAGCATTTTCAAGCTTATCAACTGTGAAAGACTTTCATTCAGGGTCCAAACGACGGAACTACGGTTGATGATATAAATCCTGCATGACCCATAACAAGGAATCTACCATAATTCCCATAGTTTAGGGTCCTTAAGGTCATGCAGGATTTCTATCATCAGCCATAGGCACTGTACCGTTTTCAAAACCCACTCAGAGAGTATGGACTTCTGAGACCTAAATACTATATCCCCCCGTAGAACCATAATAAAAATAATATGTTTAACATTTTCTTGTGTTATATATGAATAAACATGAAAAATAATTCCGAAGGAGACTATAGAATAGCAAGTTGGACCCGCTGGGGAAGTGGCTAATCCACTGGCCTTATCAATTCTCATAGGGTTTTGGTGTAGCTAAACGTACCCTAAACCCGCAAACCAGGCATATTCAGAAATAAAGCAGTCCCTAAGGAGAAGTATTGATAGCCGATGGATAGAACGGGCTCCCTGTTTTGGTGTTGGGTAGTTTTATAATAAGGAAGCTAAGACCACAATATGGGAAACAGGGCCCACTAAGAGACCAATATTGGCTTGACAGCTCGAGGGCTCGTGCTTGCTTTTTGTTTCTTGCTTTGTCGTTGGTTTTGAAAGGGGGGGTGTAGGGTTTAGGTCTTATACGATTGAATTTCGAGGTTCACTGTTCGTGGGATAGGGTGTAGGGCTTTTCCCCAAAGGTCCAACGGACCCAATAATAAGGTACTCGGTTTTGGGATAGTAGTTATGTAGGTTAGGATTTCGGAGAGTATATGGTTATTAGGTACTTGGACCCTTGGGCTTTTGAGCCTTGTGAGGTTGATCGTTGACGATTTGGAAATCTTCTCAGTGTAATTGCCCAAAGGGTCCTATGTACTGTTATGGGGGATACTTCCCTAAGTCATAATCGTAATGCCTAATATGGAAACCCTACATTCTACTATATGGGAGTTGCCGAAAATAGGGGACCCTAATATGAGATCCTAAATAGTAGGATCCTTATTATAAGGACCCCAAAATAAGGTACCCCTATTTTCGGAAACCCCCATATCGTTACATAGGACCCTTTGGGTTGGTGATTTTGCGCCAGACGCAAAGGTGTTCGACTTTTGGCGTATCGGGCTTAAAGTTGTGGGATTTATAGCTTCGGGTTATGATTTACCGGGCCTACAGTTTAGACTCTACAGAACCTACCTGCGGGATCTGATTGGCTGTATGGGTGATCTGCCAAAACTAGAGAAACCAGAGCAGACAGCCATCGCCCTGACCGCTTTAGGGTTTAGGATTTTAGCGTTTAGAAAAATAGTAACTAACCCCAAAACACTGTCACCCTCGAAAACTCCGAAACCCTAGACCTTCAACTCCTACACCCTGAACCCCTAACCCAAAATGGTGCTCAAATAAACCCTGGATCCGCAAACCGAAACCTCTCGAACCAGAAGGTTTAGGGTTTAGGATCTGTAAGTCCCAAAACCACCAGCCGCAATTGAGGCACTTCCATATCGAGACAGAGATGCGTGTATTGAAGATGCTGACGACCTTGAGTCAGTTTTCTCGTTCAAGACTTTAATCTAGACTATCGCACCGAGGGGAGCACGGTATTTACTGCAGCCAATACTGACAAAAACAACGCAAACCCTGCAGCCAGAAAGCCCTACTACAGGGGCCGAAATAAGTAGAACAGGGTCTTGGAGCCAATCATAATATGCGTATAATAAGGAATCCCAAAAGCAGTATTGGTAACTACTAGGATGCTTTTTTTGGTATTGGGTAGCTTGATAAGGAACCTAGGCCTAGGACTACAAAAAGGGAATAAGGGTAGTAATTACTGGGCATCCTAGTAAGTATTTGGGAGTTTCCGAAAATAGGGGATATTAAAGAAAGTACCCTAAATAGCAGGATCCTTATTAGAAGGACCCCCAGATACAGTAAGGTACCCCTAATTTTCGGATACTCCCATTTAAGCCCCTGAAGTGCAGGCTTCTTGTGTCGGGTGCTCTCGGGCCTGCCTGTTGTCTCTCTTAGGGTTAAACTAGAAGCCAGAAAGTTGGAACATGGCTTTAGGAGGATTCGTGCTAGGATCCCTTATACATTACCTTAAGGGCATGAGGATAATGATGTTCCAACTTTCTGGCTTCTACCATATAGGGCTTCAGATTTGATTTGAGATTTAGGGTTTAGGTTTAGGTCTCTTGGTTTAGGCTTAGGATTTAGGGTCTCTTGGTTTAGGTTTAGGGTTTAGGGTCTCCTTTAGGGATCAGCGCTTCGGCTGATTTGGGATATAGGGCTTAGCCCGATTTAGGGCGTAGGGGTTCGAAGCTTAGGGTTTTAGGGGCTCGGCGATTGAATGACTGCAGTGGCAGTGCACAGGGAAGCTACAAGTTCTCATCAAGGACTCACCTTGTATACCAGTGAACGAAGCTGAGGACGACCTTAAGGACCAGAATGTTGTCCCCACCCCCTAAACATAGAGCCGTAAGTAGCGCATGAAACCCCGAAAGCTTCGACTTAAAGTACAAAAGTACGAAGCGCGAGGGTACAAAGACTTGCTTCCGGGAGCTTGAAGCTCTGAAAAATAGGCAGTTATGGGAGTTCGGCTGGAGAAGTTCGAGAAACCCATCAACCCCAAACCCCGAACCCTAAACCATACTTCGATCCTAGACTAGTTTTTAGCGTTTAGTTTAGCGTCCCTGAATCGCCCAAACGATAACCCCAAAAGTGAGAGTTTTGGGCAAGTCTCCCCCCGCACTTAGGTACTTAGGACCTCAACAGGGACTACTTTAAGGCCAAAGTATCTACTATTCTGGTACATGACCCCTTAAACCCTAAACCCTTAATTATGGTACCCTTAAAAGAGCCCCTGAATGGAACCTTTTTCAGTACATGGGAGTTTCCGAAAATAGGGGACCCTCATATGGTACCCTAAATAGTAGGAACCTGTTAATCATAAATAAGGATCCCGAAATTTAGGCACCCCTAAGTTTCGGAAACTCTAAACCCTAAACCCTTTAACAGAACCCTTCTAGATCCCTTTAAGGAGCCCTTCAAGGATCCTTTCGAGGAAGCCTAGGGCCCTAAGAATGGACCCCTAGGGGTCTGATGTCGGACACGCCGCAACAACGAAGGCCCAGTGGACGAAGAAGCGGAGGCTAATCGTCTGAAATCCTGCCGCGGCGCTTTTAGGCTCCTTGCTTCTAGGGTTTAGGGTTTATAGGGTTTAGGGTTTAGGGTTTAGGGCTTAGGGTTTAGGGTTCAGGGGGTTTCAGGGCTTGGGATTTGGGGTTGAGGGTTTAGGGTTTAGGGTTCAATCGTCTGCACTCCTGCCGTTTGGAGGGGCCAAGGGATTTGGTAAGGGTTATTAAAGGGCTTCTTAAAGGGATCTACAGGGTTCCTAAAAGGGATCTATGGGGTTTAGGGTTTAGGGTCTTCCTGGAGGGGCAGGGGACTTAGTAAGTAGGGTTATAAGTGGGGTTATTATTGGGGTAACTGCATTTAAGGTACTTACAACTCTACTTATAACCTACTTACTGAGTCCCCTGCCAATACAAGTAGACCCTAAACCCTGAACCCCATGGACTCCTGTAAGGAACCCTATAGATCCCTTTAAGGAGCCCTTTAAGAGCCCTTACTAAATCCCCTGCCCCTCCAAGCGTGGCGCTTTAGGGCTCCCGGCTTCGAGGGTCTGTAGGGTTTGGGGGGTTTCAGGGCTTGGGGTTTGGGGTTGAGGGTTTAGGGTTTAGGGGTTTAGGGTTTAGGGGTTTAGGGGTTTAGGGGTTTAGGGGTTTAGGGGTTTAGCGGTTTAGGGTTTAGGGTTTAGGGGTTTAGGGGTTTAGGGGTTTAGGGTTTAGGGGTTTAGGGTTTAGGGGTTTAGGGGTTTAGGGGTTTAGGGTTTAGGGTTTGGGGGTCTGGGTCTAGGGCTCCCCCCAAAGCCCTACTCTAATGATTCGAGCTCCTACCTCGGGATTCATACCCCAAAAGCCTATTCCTACTTGAAAAATATCCTGGGGAAGTTAACATACAAATTGGGAATTATATAGGGGTTACAGTTCCCAAGGTTACCTTCTCTACTACTAAAAACCCAGATAGAGCCAGTACCCTCGGAGAACTGAGGAAGGCCCTGTCTCGATTTTGGGGAGGGCCTACTTGGAGGGGCAGGGGGCTTAGTAAGTAAGTAACAAGTAGAGTTATAAGTACCCCCCCCAATTATAACCCTACTTATAACCCCACTTACTAAATCCCCTGCCCCTCCAGGAAGACCCTAAACCCTAAACCCCATAGATCCCTTTAAGGAACCCCTATAGATCCCTTTAAGGAGCCCTTTAAGAGCCCTTACTAAATCCCCTGCCCCTCCAGGAAGACCCTAAAACCCTAAACCCCATAGATCCCTTTAAGGAACCCTATAGATGCCCTTACTAAATCCCCTGCCTCTCCAGGAAGACCCTAAACCCTAAACCCCATAGATCCCTTTAAGGAACCCGATAGATCCCTTTAAGGAGCCCTTTCAGAGCCCTTACTAAATCCCCTGCCCCTCCAGGAAGACCCTAACCTAAACCCTAAACCCCATAGATCCCTTGAAGGAACCCGATAGATCCCTTTAAGGAACCCCATAGATCCCTTTAAGCAACCCGATAGATCCCTTTAAGGAACCCTATAGATCCCTTTAAGGAACCCTAGCCAAAGATTGACACTTAAGCATCAGTCAAAACACTCATGCGTTGAGGCAAACTCAGACTAGCTGCGTGCTTCGTCCATCGATTTCACGCCAGCATATGAGCCTAACTCCTGATTTGTTTTCTGTGGCCTCGGTGGTTCTTTCGCCTTGCTGGTACCAGCAGGCTTCTTCCGCTTGGGATCTGAAGACAAGGTGTGGGTGATTGGGACCTGCTCCTTAGCACCGATCTTCTCCACTGGTTTGCCACTGGCGAAGATGCCATACCCAATGGGGTGCAACTTCTTCTGCTTCTCTTCGCATTCCCAAGCAAAGACAAAGCCTTTCTCGAGCCCCTGTCTTTCTGGTTTCGTGAAAGACACCCTTTAAGGAACCCTATAGATCCCTTTAAGGAGCCCTTTAAGAACCCTTCCTAAGTCCCCGAAAGCCCCTCCAAGTAACGATTTCGCGTTTCCCCCAGCGGCCTCCGTCGGAAATTTGACGTACCAGCTCCTGGGCGGTCTGCGCATCCTAAACTAGGGGTTTGGTTTAGGGGTTTAGGGTTTAGGGGTTTAGGGGTTTAGGGGCTTAGGGTCTAGGGGTTTAGGGGTTTAGGGTTTAGGGGTTTAGGGTTTAGGGTTTAGGGGTTTAAGGTTTAGGAACTAGGATGCCCAGTAACCTAAGAATGAAAAGGCCTCTCTTTTAGGTATTGGGTAACTTTATAAGGAACCTAGGACTACAAAAAGGGAATAAGGGTACTACTGGGCATCCTAGTAAATCCTGCAACTTTACGGGTAGCTTAGGGGCTGAATCAAACAAGCCCAAGAAAGGTTAACCTTGAACTATGCTAGGATTATATAACCCCCACAAGGTTAAAGGTTACCTACGCGGCAACTAGGAACTAGGTCTCTAAACTAGTGAGCCTTCTTTCAGGGTCCGGTGCAGCACCTCAGGAACTACCCACATCCTAAACCCTGACACTGCCAAGTTTTTTTTTTGGGGGGGGAGTGATTAGGGTTCAGGGTTTTGTGAAAACCATAATAATGGTGGCTCAAAAGATGATCATGTGTAAAAGGCAGCTGAGCACAAAGCAAAAGAGATGGGTCTGCTATTGAGTCTGCCATGGCCCTAAAACCCCGAAGCCTCGGATCTACCATAAACCTCTGAACGAACGGTTTGCCACCCTCCTCTACCCAAAAAATCAAGACTGTAGTATTTGCATGTATTTGCGCACGCCTTCAAGCAGTCCCTAGATGTAGGTACTTTACGGCCATAGCATATATATGTATATATAACTATATATATATATATATATATATATATATATAGCTATACAATATACTCATATACTTAATCCTCAGCACCACCGGATCAAGCTTGAAATAACCGAACACCACGACCCTAAGCTCCACGGAATCCTCGTAGAACCTCTCCAGTTGCCCATTTTACAACCCCTTGCAAAACAGCCTCTAAAACCTACCTTGCCAAGGACTTTATATCGGGAACACATTGCAAGGAGCCCTAAAACTAGGTATGTTGTTTGGTATCTCCAAACACGCATGAGATAAGAAAAGCAGGGACTGGCTTCAGGGTTTTGGCTGAGGGATTTCGTGCTTTCAGGGCTGTGGGGTCTCGGCTTTTGAGCATTGGGGCTCTGGGGTTTCAGGCTTTCGCGAGGATGCCCAGTAACCTAGGCATCAAACGGGCCCCTTTTTTGGTATTGGGTACCTCTATAAGGAACCTAGGACTACAAAACCGGAATAAGGGTAACTACTACTGGGCATCCCAGAAAACGCCTTCTACATACTGCAACAAACCACCCAAACAAAAACTAACCCCAAAACCCTAAACCCTAAAACTAACACCACTTCCAGAAACTTCCAGAACCTTTCCAAACGGCCCAACATGTCAATAAAGGCCGTACAACCGCATAGCCGCATGGCCACAAGACGCCTCCTCAAAACCATCAAAGCGCACCCAGAGAACCCCAAACAACCCCTACTAAGCAATCGTATCAACCTAGAATGTAAAGTAATATGGGCGGGGGGCAGTACGAGTTTGGAACGACATTTAGGAGTGTATGATTCTAGTTACTAAAGCTTTATTATGAAGCCCCAAGTATCAGTACCAGTGATTGTCCCGATCCCTGTATTCGTCGTCCGCCAAGAGTCAGGGATTAGGTCGGCTAAGAACGGAACATTGGCGGCACCGACCATGTAGATGGTGTAGTTGATCGGCACTAACCCTTGGCTGTGATGGGTTTTACGGCTTAGGATGTCGGGGTGTAGAGTTTACCCAGAGGCTCCAAAGTAGTTCCTTTTTGGGGTTACCTTATAGGATTCTAAATATGAACCCTAAAAAGGAACTACTATGGAGCCTTAGGGTAGGCATTTAGAAACCCTTGGCTGTGATGGGTTTGGGGGTTTAGTGCTTACGGGTTTGGGGATTGCAGTCTAAAGTAAAAGCCAGAAAGTTGGAATATGATTATCCTAAAGCCTTTATGGTAAACTATACGGTATCCTACCCTGAAACCATATTCCAACTTTCTGGAGTTCCCTTTAGATTTCGGGCTTTAGTGCCGAGGTCTCGGGTCTTGGGCTTTAAGGTAAAAGCCAGAAAGTTGGAATATGATTATCCTAACCCCTTTAACCATATTCCAACTTTCTGGAGTTCCCTTTAAGGGTTTTTAGGGTTAGGTTTTAGTGTTTGTATCGTGTACCTCCGGTCCTTGAGTTCATTCTAGGTACTTGGAGGATCATGGGACTTAGTAAGTAGGGTTATAAGTATCTCAATTGGGGGAGAAAGTAATTATAACAGTAGTTACCTTACTTAATATAACCCCAATTACTAAGTCCCATGATCCTTTAAGTAAGGGTTTGAGATTAAGCGCGCTCCCGCAACAGAAGCCGTGGTTGCCGTAGTTGTCTTTGCTGAATAACAGGTTGTTGGCAGGATGTTCCATAGGTTTTGTTGTGTTTAAAGGCTTACCCTCAGTGGCCGCACACTCAATGAAAGAAATTTTGAAACTTTCAGAACCGACTACCTTATAAGAGCCCCAGAAGTTGAAAAGTTGAGTTTACAGCCAATAAGTACCCGTGATCCTTGCATTCTGTCTTTTAGATATCAAAGGGGAATAGGAGGGACCCTTAATGGGGACCCCTACCCTATAATGGGCTATATAATGGGTATATAAAGGCTATATTAAGGGTATAAACCTAGGGGTCCTTATTAAGGGTCCCTCCTTTTCCCCTTTGAAGATAGGTCGCTTTGGGGTCTCAGGAGATTGGGAATGTAGCAGAAGGGCCCTGAAAATTGGAATAAGGTTTTGGAAGCAATTTGCACTGCAGTCATAACAACTAAGCCAAGGAATTCATTTTTCGGGAATCGGGTTTAGGGTTTAGGACCTCATTTAGGGTTTCATACACTGAAAAATATCAAAGTCCTGGAGGTCGTGTGCTTCTGGAAGCCTTGTGTTTTGGGTTTAGGGTTGAGGCTTTCGGTTTTACGGTTGCGATCGAAGCTAAAGGTTTAAGGCTGACTTCGTCGGAGTTTAGGGGTTTGACGAGTTCAGGTTTGCGCGTTTAGGGTTTGGGGCTTCAGGCTGTTCAAGGACTCCCGACCCCCCCACCCCCTCAAAAAAACAAAACACACGTTTAAGCTGAAAGCCTCATTAGAAGTACGCTAGAAACCCAAAACCCTAAGCCCTATAGGCCTTAAACCCTAAGCCCTAAACCCTAAGCCCTCTGAGAGCATCAGTCCTAAGAGCCAGAGAAAAGCCAAGAATCTCTGTCGTACGTCGGACATAACAGAGCCAATGTGCCCGCGAATCAGGCTGTTAATTTCGTCCGTCCAGCATGCATCCTTGCCTGTGCCCTCCGCAGAATCGGAATACCATTTTACCAGCATTTCGAAGATGATAGTCCTGCATTTGGCAACATGGCAGGGACGCCGGGTCCCCAAACCGTAAACTCAGTAATTACCGTCGAAGTCTGAATCTATTTCGTAGGGCGGCGAAATATACTGATGGTATAGTTTACACCCCAAAGCCCTACTGTAACAATCAGGTCCCGTCTATGCAACCTTTATCTTGTAATTTGTATAATTTTGACCGGACAGGAAGCATTCGGCAGCTCCACTAAATCGACCATGGACCCAAAAAAGCAGATGATGCGTTCTGAACCCTATGAGGATCCGCATTTATTCCGTATATTCACTGTAAGGGATCCTCAATATGGTTAAAAGTAATTAATGTAGGGGCCTTAATACTTAGAATAGGGTTTGAGGTTATGTTATGCGATCATGTTAAGAAGGATCCCCCGCAAATAGTATAGGTAAGTACTGAGGCCCATATATTACACTCCGTACTTAAGGCGTTTGGAGTCTTTGGGCGCGTCGAACCTTGCGAGCAGAGTGCCGGGCACTTGAGAACCGCTTTAAATGAACTACCTGTAGTCTCCATTGTATTCCTTTTTGTGGTTGACCAAATCTCGATTATAGGATCCTAACCATAAAACTGGTTAACCAAAAAAAGGAACCACAATGGAGACTCTAGGTAGTCCAGAGGGTCCAGATATACTACAATGATGGAATTAAGTCCCAAAAGACCATCCCTACTATGGTTTTTGGGGCCTAAGTCCTAAGTCCATGATGGTAGTATACATGGACCCTCAGGGTAGCTGCAGCTCACAAACTAGCTTAATTACAAAATAGCATGCTTCTGGCTTTCGGCTAAAAGCATCCCCCTGAAGCCTAGACTTAAAACCCACAACCCTTTCAACTCTAAACCCTAAACCCTTCAAGGAACCCTTAACCCTAAACCCCGAGCCCTTAACCCCAAAGACCCTAAACCCGCAGTCCTGTCGCAAGGAAGCTCCAGGCCAGTTACCTGGGCTTTTCAGTAACCAGGGAGAAAAAAGTATAAACTTGTATTTCATAAATGGCTCCTTTAAGAAAGAAAAGTATTACAGTACTTGAAGGCTCATGGGACTTAGTAAGCAAGGTTATAAGTAGGTTATAATTAGGATAACCCCACTTGGGGGACTTATAACCCCAATTATGACCTATTTACTAAGTCCCATGATCCTTTAAGTATTAGTACGAACCCTGCACCCTAAACCCTGAACCCTAAACCCTAAACCCTAAACCCCCAACCCCCTAAACCCCTAAACCCTAAACCCCTAAACCCTAAACCCTTAAGTATGGTACTCCAAAGCCCGGTTACTGGATGCAGATGTTCGAAGCCGCAGCAGCTGGTGGAAGCATCCTCTGCTTTGGACTCTACTGCCAACTTAGTAACTTCAAAGGGCTCCTTCAAGGGATCCTGAAAATTTAAGGATCCAGTTCAGGAGCCCTTTCAAGTTACTAAGTTGATAGTAGAGTGCTTAAAAAGGGATCTTAGGGATTTAGGGTTTGGGGTTTTGGGGCAGACTTGGGAATCATGGGACTTAGTCAGGAGAGTTTAGGGGCTCCTTTAAGGGACCTATAGGGGTACTATAAGGCTTTAGGGTTTAGGGTACTTGGGGGAATATGGGACTTAGTAAGGCTATACGTGCCTTGATCGGGGTGAAAAGTAATTATAACTGTACCTGCCTTACTTATAACCCCAGATATTAAGTCCCATGATCCTCTAAGTACTATCCTCTTTAAGGGGGCTTAGGGTTTAGGGATCTAGGGTTTAGGGGTGCTGTAAGTGTTGCTACTGGGGTTACTACGAAGGTTTAGTTTTATGTAGAAGCCTACACCAGTAGCAGTACTACGACTCCGTAAACTTAATAAGGTGTCTGCTAGAACTGTAACCCCAAAGCCCTGTTCACTTCTTGAGGCCCCTTATTCCTTCCATGTCCTACCTATTCTCTGAACGGTCCTAGTACAGACCCGTATGTAGAAAATATACAGAACCTACACGGACCAGTGGCTTCTGATAGTTTCAAAGGAGCTCGTTTGTCGAAGTGCCCATCGGCACGACACTGTGAACGAACGAGAATCTAACGTCCATTCCCGGGCCATGAAAGGAAAACTTAAAACAGAGTGGTGTATAACCTCACATGTTACATTTTGTGCTTAAGGTTGCTCCCCTGAAAATGAGCGTCATATACTTAGTAGTTACTAGTTTGCAGGGTGTGCGGCTACATGTAATCCCACCAAAGCCCGCGACTCTACAAGCCTGGGAAAGCGACAACCCGAAGCAAAAAGACATGAATGCCATGCAACTGCCATGGAAGACCCTAAACCCTAAACCCCTAAACCCTAAGCCCTACAGCCTCGACTGTATATAAAGCCTCGAACCCCAAGACCTGACGTCCAGTACACCAAAACTCAAAACCCTAAACATCTTAGCAGTACAGCCCTCATGGAGCCCCTTATAAGACTCTCTCAGGGACGACTTATCTGTCGAGTCCCCGCTTACGGCTGAAATGAGCCAGGGCGTAGTCTTTGCTGGCTCTAGGTTTTTGAAGTCAGGGTTTGGGTTGAAGGCTTAAAGTGTGAAACCCTAAACCCTAAACCGAACCGTAAACCCTAAACCGGAGATTTCAGTTTGCCCGTATCGCAAAAAACCGACAAAACGGGGGTGCATGGATCTGGGCCATGCCGACGACCTGACGACAGAACCAGTAGCAGCCCCAGGCCTTAAAGGGAACTCCAGAAAGTTGGAATATGGTTTCAGGGTAGGATACCTTATAATTTACCATAAAGGGCATAGGATAATAATATTCCAACTTTCTGGCTTCTACTGTAAATCCTGAAAGAAAAAGGGCGTTCAAAAGCCCAAACCCAAACCCCAAGCCCTGAACGCCAAACACCAAACTCCTGTTACCCTAAACCCTAAATCCCAAACCCTAAACCCCAACCAAACCCTGTCTCACGAAAATCCAGGGCTCGCGGATGTTGAAAGATGCCAACTGCTGCGGCAGCTTCTCAACTTCCTCTATCAGCCCGATACCTTCGGGTGGGCCGTTGAAAGGGATCTATAAGGGCTCTATAAGGGTACCATAGGGGTTTAGGGGTTGGGTTTTAGGGTTTAGGGGTTGGGGTTTTAGGCTTTTAGGGGTTAGGGGTTCAGAGTTTTGGGGTTTTGGGTTTGGGCCTCTAGTTTCTTAAAGCGTAACGCGCCTTTGACTCCTTCAGCAGGCAGAGAGCGCCAAGGCACCGCTCAAATCGATCTCTCTAGGAGTTTAGGGTTTAGGGGTTGGGGTTTTAGGGTTTAGGATTTAGGGTTTGAGGGGTTTAGGGATCAGGATTCATGGGTTTAGGGTTTGAGGGGTTTAGGGATCAGGGTTCATGGGTTTAGGGTTTGGGGGTTTAGGAGTTTAGGGTTACACAGAGCTTAGCTGAAGAAAGGAAGTGCAATATCGACCTCTCATGCAAAACCTTGAGAATATCAAACCCTACAGTAAGCCCTAAACCTTAATACCCAAACCCAAAAGGCACAAACTGTTGAAACAATAATGCGCCTTATACCCTAGTTAGTGCTGCTGCTGCAATCCTAAAATAACCCAAACCCTGAACCCCTAAACCCCTAAACCCTCTTCCCTAAAAGGCTAACACCCTACACCACAAACCCGACTCCCAAGTGGAAGACTTGGCTTCCCAGGTTTTGGGGCCTCAGGGTTTCAGGATTTATGGGTTTCTTTAGGGATTCCTTCAAAGGCTTCTTTCTTGAAGGGCTTAGGGTTGAGGGTTTGGGGCATCGGGTTAGGGTGTTAGGGTGTTGGGCTTCAGGGATGTTTAGGGCCGTGGGGTGTCAAGGCTTTAGGGTTTTAGGGTTCGGCATCTACTTGAGAGCTGGCGAGCTTTCCATTAATTGGTATGGTTGATTGGTCAGCTACTAGTACTCCGGGTTGCCCTTTTTCTGATTCTGCAGTTTTGGTGGCGAATCTCCCAAATAGAGAACTGGTCCGCAAGGCGTTTAGAGCGGCGTTGTAGCAGCCAACATCATCTGAATCTCATCCATTCCGACATCTATATATCGACCCACAGACCAATCCATCCACCATATCCATCCCACCATCTATCCGTCCATCCATTCATGCATCCATCCATCCGTCCGTCCATCCGTCCACAGGATCGAAGAAGGAGTAGGATAGTCTTGGGACTTCCCTCGAAATTAACAATCAATCAGGAGGATTCCTTGTGCATGGGGTAATGTAGGCACCTGATTATAAACCTTGGGCGTTTCTTAGGTTCCTTATATGAACCCTACTCTTTTGGGTTACAGGCCCAGGGTTTCTTAACCAGGTTCCTACATTATGCTTGGGAATGCACGTTTCGGTGTTTTTGCGCGGGCGGCGGGGGCATGGCAGGGGCAGGGGACCCTAAAACCACACAGCCTCGAACGGCACACTGAAAGCTCTGCAGGGTTGGGTGCATGCGTTATCACGGATCGCCTGAATGAATCTGTCTGGCGGTGTTCTGAGATGATACCTATAGTCTCCATTGTAGTTCCTTTTTTGGTTAACCGGTTTTATGGTTAGGATCCTATAATAGAGGTTTTGGTTAACCAAACAGGAACTACAACAGAGACTATAGGTACTACTTGTTGAAGCAATGTCGGATTCGAGGTTCGCAGGTGAGTTTTGCGCTCTTTCGGATAAGGGTTGGGGTTCGAGGCTGGGGGTACCCAGAGGCTCCAAAGTAGTTCCTTTTTGGGGTTACTTTATGGGATTCTAAATATGAACCCTAAAAAGGAACTATATACTATGGAGCCTTAGGGTATGTTCATTTTGCCCCAAATCCGGCGAGTGGCCCACGTAGTAAACGATCGGAACCACCACGACACCTGCAAATGCCACCATGCTCATTGCCTGAGGCAAGACTTACGTGGAGGCTTTTGCATGAGAGGCGGCACGGATATCAACGATAATTGGGTGGTTGTCAAAATTATGGTTCCTTTTTGAGTCTTTAATATAACACGGCACCTAATATCTAGGGTACCACCTTAATTTAGACAACTACCCAATTATTGCGACCCCGATATTCACCCCAAGAAGCCCCAACACCGAGATACTGAAAATGAACCCAGCAGTGCGGTTCATGATACAAATCCTGCATTACCATAAGGACCCCAAAGTATGGGAATTCTGGTATAATCCTTATTATGGGTAATGCAGGATTTATATCATCAACCGTGATGCTCCTTTCCCTGATTTCATGATTGAAGGCCTCCAAAACCGTCTTGTTGTAAAACCCCAACTTGGAGGGGCAGGGGACTTAGTATGTAGGTTCTTATGTAGGTTGTAAGTAGAGTTATATGTACCCTAAACGGAGTTACCCAGATTATAACCCTACTTATATGCCACTTACTAAGTCCCCTGCCCCTCCAAGTAAACCCTAAACCATGATCTTGGAATCCTCGGGGTCTTCGGTTTCGTTCAGTCGGTTTCAAAACGAAACACGAATTCCTTTACTTAAAGGATCCCTAAACCCTTGCTGCCCAGGCGGTTCAAGGTTCAGGGCTCAGGTTGGGTGCTGAAGGTGCAGAATTGAGGGTTTTGGCCTTCAAGTTGTGGGTTCTGTCGCCGATTCAGGATTAAATGCTTCTAATGTAGGAACCGAATTAAGAAACCCTGGGCCTGTAGCCCCAAAATAGTAGGGTGGAACCCTAACAAAGGCCCACGGTTTCTTAATCAGGCTCCTATATTATACGTGAATTCTGGCGCATAGAGTATAGAGGTTGTGGGATTCATGGCTTGGCTTGCTGAAAAACTTACTACCCCAATAAGCCACAGAAATAAAAGGTTAAACTTTCCGATTCCTACTAAACTCTCAGAAAAGGTTAGGTACTGGGGATCTAAGATTAAGTTCTTTGAATTGAAAGCTATGTTCTTCGGAGTGGGGGGTTTTGGGTTTATGGTTTGGGGCGGCTGGGAGAGTGAAATGCAGGGTGCTGGACCCGGATATCGGAAACCCCTGAACTCAAGCACAACAGTGGCCCGGTCCTGTCGGGGAAAATTCACAGCTTGAAATGGGGGCACTGAACGCAAAATATAAGGGCCTTAGTAATGAGAATAGGGTTGGGCGGTATATGATACCAGAACTACGGTTGATGATATAAATCCTGCATTATCTTAAGGACCCCAAAGTAATGCAGGATTTATATCATCAACCGTATAGTAAGGACCCCCCCCCCCGCACAAAAACAAATATAGTATTAACAATTATTTAGGCCCCTATAGAGTAAACGCTGGAGATTGGCCCTGGGTTCCTTTGTCTGATGCTTCCAGGCCGCAGGCAATGCCACCGATTGAAGTGATTCAAGAACATCGTCTCCATATACCGAGGCCACCTTCCCAGAGACTCATCGATCCCCTTAAAGGAGCCCCTTAAAGATACCCTTATGGATCCCTTTAAAGGAACCCCAGGATTTATATCCCCAGAGACTCCGAAACCACTTAATTTCTGGGTTCGCCCGAAGATCCCAAGAGGAATTATTGCCATGTTAAGTAGCGATAGATCTTCTGAAAAAAAAGCCGCAGCTCACTTGACGGCTTGGGAATGAGGGGTTCAAGGTTTCAAGGTGGCCTTTGGGACCTAATCTTTGGACCCTCTGGGCATGTTTTCGTGGAACTTTGGGTCTCTGAAACGAGCCATGCAGGCTCGTGGCTAGTAGAAGCAACAACACACCCGGAGCAGGCGTCCTACGTATGAAGCGACCCTTACCACATAGGCGACATCCTGCAGGCCCGCCAAACAACATCTCTCAGTGGGTTCAGGGGCCTTAATAATTAGAATAGGGTTTTGGGGTCCATTTTGTAATTAATTAGGCACCCTATATTATATTAAGCTTACTGTTTGGCGGCTGCGACGTGGCTGCCCGCGGCTCCCTTAAATCCGAGAACGTCGTAGGAACAGATAGCAGCAATCCATGGACGGTTTGAGGACTAACGAACACCTACGGTCTAGGGAACTTAGCATAGGGGTTAATACATAACGGGTCATGACCATACTTTTTCATATAGATTCTATAGACCCTGAACTCTAAACTTTGCATTGGGACTTAGGGAAGAATGACTCCCACGATTCAGCGTTTCATCCGGATTGTATAGCCTCACTGAACAGTGGCATGAGTCCTGTGCAGCCCGCAGCTACCCAAGTGATCATAGTAATTGGGCTTATAAGTAAGGTAGCTACAGTTGTAAATATTTATAGCCCCAACTAAGGTACTTACAACCTTACTTACTAAGTCGCATAATCCCCGAAGTACCCTAAACCTTAAAGCCTTATAGGACCCCTATAGATCCCTTAAAAGAACCCCTGAACCCTATGTACTACTGTCCCATGATCCCCGAGCTATCCAAGTGGGGCTCGGGAATTCCAAACTTGTCGAGTTTTCAAGCTCAGGTTCTAGGATGCCCAATAGTCTAGGGATGAAAAAAGGCTACCTTTTTGGTATTGGGTAGCTTGATAAGGAACCTAGGACTACAAAAAGGGAATAGGAGTACTACTGAGCATCCTAGGGTTTCACGATTTGAAGGTTTGGGTTGTGCCCTAAACCCTAAAACCCTAAACCCTAAACCCTAAACCCCGGCTTCGAGTTGAGGGCTGTAGGATCCTTTTGGCTTAAAGAGCCCAGGGTTTGGAGCACTGCCTCGGGTAAGGAGTTGGGAGAAGCTTAGTGAGTTAAAGGGGAATTTGCGAAAATAGGGGGTACCTTACTTTGGGGTCCTTATAATATGGATCCTATTATTATTTAATTTACTATATTAGGGTCCCCTAGGATTGGGGTCGCACCAACAAAGGTGCATAGGTTAAGGAAGGGATGTGGCTTCGGGCTCTTAGTTTCAGAGTTGTGTCAGGGTGCTATGCGCGGTATGTCATCCCGGGTCAGTCCTCGGTTTGGAATTTGAGGCTAATGTAGAAATCTGATTAAGAAACCCTGGGCCTATAACCCCCCCCCAAAAAAAAAACAAACAAAAAGTAGGCTTCATATAAGGAACACGAAAGGCCCAAGTTTTATTAATCATGTTTCCTACGTTAAGGTTTAGTTTAAGTTGGCTTAAAATAAAACACCGAAGTCTTTTTTGTAAGGTTGTAGGAATCAGACTCCGAATCAAATCAGGCTCCGGTATGACATGATGGAGGTTTTCGACCTTCGCGCTCGCGTAGATCACATTGTAGGCAGCGCACAGCACGTACCAACATGCCGATGACAAACACAGCAACCTCGACACGGGATAGAAGGGCCTATAACCATTAAAATAGGTTACAAGGGGCCCCAACCCTGAATATAATAGAGCCCTAATATAATCCTTATAGTCACTATTACGGGGTGGGGGCCCCTTCTAACCTATAACCATTAGGATAGGGTTTAGAGGTACACTTTAATATCAGTAGAGGATGGAATCTATTGGGATACTGTGATCTTTTATTAAGGCTATTTTTCCAAGCCCTCCACCACGCTTGTTCCTTGTATCTTAGTATTCAGTCCTCCTAGCGACCATCCAAAACACTAAACCCAAAATCCAACACACAAAACCACCCTAAACCCTAAATCCTAAACCCTGAACCCCAAAGCCTCTTCCTCGGCCCAAAACACATGACTCCATTGATCCTGGATCTTACTCGTGATAAGCTCGAACTGTCAGCTCTAAAAGTTGTACATGGGTTAAGGGTATGCCTTCCGTAGTAGCAGCAGCAGCAGCAGCAGTAGTAGTAGTAGTAGTAGTAGTAGTAGTAGTAGTAGTAGCAGTGGTGGTGGTAGTGGTAGTGGTAGTGGTAGTGGTAGTGGTAGTGGTAGTGGTAGTGGTAGTGGTAGGGGTAGGGGTAGGGGTAGGGGTCGTGGTCGTGGTCGTGGTCGTGGTCGTGGTCGTGGTCGTGGTCGTGGTCGTGGTCGTGGTCGTGGTCGTGGTCGTGGTCGTGGTAGTGGTAGTGGTAGTGTAGTTTTAGTGGTAGTGGTAGCGGTAGCGGTAGGGGGAGTAGGTAGGGGGTAGGGGTCGGGGTAGGGGTAGGGTTAGGGGTAGGGGTAGTGGTAGTGGTAGTGGTAGTGGTAGTGGTCGTAGTAGTAGTAGTCGTCGTAGTAGTAGTAGTAGTAGTCGTCGTCGTGTAGTAGTAGTAGTAGTAGTAGTAGTAATAGTAGTTAGTAGTAGTAGTAGTAGTAGTAGTAGTAGTAGTAGTAGTAGTAGTAGTAGTAGTTAGTAGTAGTAGTAGTAGTAGTAGTAGTAGTAGTAGTAGTAGTAGTAGTAGTAGTAGTAGTAGTAGTAGTAGTAGTAGAAATAGTAGTAGTAGTAGTTAGTACTAGTCAGTAGTAGTAGTAGTAGTAGTAGTAGTAGTAGTAGTAGTAGTAGTAGGAGTAGTAGTAGTAGTAGTAGCAGTAGTAGTAGTAGTAGGAGTAGCAGCAGCAGTAGTAGTAGTAGTAGTCGTCGTCGCAGTAGTCGTCGTCGAAGAAGAAAAAGTAGTCGTCGTCGCCGTCGTGTAATAGTCGGCGTGGGTTTTAGGGTCTTGGGTGCACCCGAAATCCTAAACATTGAACCATGTACTGCAGCCCGCCACAACCCCAGCCCCCTGCACATCCCTAACTCCCAAAACTTTGGCGCCTAAAGCCTGAACCCTCAATGCCTAAACCCGAAACCCAAAACACGAAAACCCTAAAACCCAAAAACATTCCCGCCATGCAGCGCGCCGGTCTTGACCTCAGCTAGGCAGGCTCCTGCTTATCAGCCTTGTGAACCTATTCCCAGAGGCTTGATACATACCAATACTTAAAGAATCATGGGACATAGTAGTTGTAGGGTAACTACAGAAAGAAATAAGAATAACCCCCAAAAAGGTACTTACAGCACTACTTACTGGGTCCCATGATCGTCCAAGTATGGAATGAGGACCCGCAAGGCCATCCCTGCCAAGGTTTTAGGGCCCAGAGTCTATCATGGTAGTATACGTTTGAAGACTCTGGGCGTGTTGACATTGTGTTTTTTACCGTATTCGCCAAAACTTTTGGGGGACGACAGGTGAACTCGTGGGACTTTAGAAGAGCTAAAGTACACAAAAAATCGACAGGTTGGCTACTTCACGTACTGCCACGACGTTGCACAATATTTTGCTCCAACCAAAGTCTAGAGACTAGTGATTGCAGGGTTTAGGGCATGGAGATTACATAAAATTTAGCTTTCGGGATCTGGGGACCATACTTGGAACATCGGAGGACTTTGTAAGTAGACATATTGATTGGGGTGAAGTTTTGGCACCTGCGTACTAAGCCCCCCGACCCTACGAGTAATGTAGACCCTGGATACCAAACCCCTCCGTTTCTCCTGGGTTACTGATAGGGATTCCCCCCAAAAGACCTTTCAAATAGTTTTACTATTTAGGGTTTAGGATCTACAGTTTAGGGGTCTGCATCAAGCTTTAAGGAATGTTGGACATTTCGCGGACATCGCCGACAAGCCGACAAAACAGGTTGCTCATGCCACTTCCCGACTCCCACACATGGAACTGCATCGCCACGTTTGTGGCCCCGTGTTTTGTGACGATAGAGCTCGTCTTTAACAACAAATCGGGGTTGCACACTAGCAGCCGCAGAAGAAGGGCGACTGGTGAGGGATGGTACCGACCCGGCTTTTGCATCAAGAATTCGCAGGGGGCGAGATGCATTTCTTTTGTCAGGGATATAACAGGGACTCGACTGTTACTTCAGAATCGCCTACTACCGAAACACAACGAATCGTGCTCCTCGTCTGCCTCCTCAGTTTACAACTGGACGCTGCTTTCGAGCATGACGTGCTTAACCTAGGGCTTCGAAACATAGACTAGGGCTTTGTATATAATCTACTACTCTATGTAAAATCCCATTCCTAGCTATTTGACGTCTACAATGTGTCAGCCGACGGCGAAGGAACGCTTCAACTTCAACACTCCAATCAAATCCTACCCCCAAGGGTCCAAATACCCGAATCGTAGCGGCTTGCCAAAACTAGTCTAGACACCTCGACTACGAAGTTTGTAACCCCGAACCCTAACCGCCTAACCCAAACCCTAGGCCCTAAACCCTGAACCCTAAACTGCCGAGAGCGCGGCTGAACATGTACATTGGCGCTCGAGGCTCCGACCGAAGCTCCCGGCCGAGCGTTTCGTCAAAACGGTGAGAGACGGTGAAACCTCCTACTTTCGAACGCTGTAGTGATGACGCTCGGCATGAAGTCTCCACCGTCAGGTAGTAAAGATCCCCCAGCCGTTTTGGGGCCCTCGGCTGGCAGATTAAGGGCCGGGGTTGCAGGACAACCGGGACTGATCGACCTAGCCCACAGTTTGGCAGGGCCTCCCAGAATGCTCCGCCCCGAAAGGACAAGGATCGCACTCCCATACAGCGTTCACCAATTTGGAGCGGCTCCCCAAAAGACAAGCACAATTTGAAGCAGCTGCTTCTACACTTCGAACGACCCTTACATGGATCGAGGAGCGGGATGTTTGTCGGGAACCCTTGCTTCTCGCGTCGAGCGGCCGGCACAGGTCGCGAGGACCCACAACCCGACACCAATCCATCTCAGCTGTGCTTTGCTCGTTTTTATGTAGAACTGGGAAGGGCAAGAAGCCCCCCTTAAGGGGGGTTTGGGGGGGTGAAAGTTAAACCCTGATTGAGGGGAGTAGGGGCGGGACTACATGCTGACGCAAGCGCACGATAAGTGGGTGGCCCCCAATCCTAAAGAAGCGCACCCACCCCGAACTCAAAGGGGAAAAGGAGGGACCCTTAATGGGGACCCCTACCCTATAATGGGGCTATATAACGGGTATATAATAGCTATATTAAGGGTATATACCTACGGGTCCCTATTGAGGGTCCCTCCTTTTACCCTTGGATGAGCCTTAAACCCGAAAGAGCAAAGCATATCGAGCGGCAGGGATGATCTGAGTCCGCTCCCGCCCGAAGGGATCCTCGAGGTTTACTTCGGCTTATTATTAATTGAGAATAAATAGTTAGGCAACTGAAAATACAACTAAGAAGAAGAAGAGTCGTGACAATAATCTTAACAAATCATGTTGATGATAATAGTGTTGCTTGTAAAAAGAAATTCCAATTCTAATTGTAGTTAAAACTAGCAATAGTCGCTGTAATAGTCGCGAGGGTAATGAAGGTTTACTTAGGCTAAAATTTAGAAGGCTTTGGCTTTTGGGCTTCAGGTTCTGGATACAATGGTTTAGGTCAAGGATTTAGCGTTTCAGTTTCCGGGAGAAGCGTAGGGCTTCTGGGTGTAGGGTTTCGGACTTTGTGTTCGATGTGCTGTAGTCTAGGCTGTTCAGTAATCCACTGGAAAAAAGTATATACATTGTTTAGGCTTCTTATGAAATAATGATAGGAACCCAGAAACCTGAAAGTGAAAAAGTGCAAACCCTAAGCCCTTTAAAGCCTTGCCTAAGCCCCACACCCTTAGACCCTAAACCCTAAACCATCTAAAGCCCTAAACCCTAAGCCTTTTAAAGCCAAAACCCTATAGATCCCTTATGGATCCCCTTTAAAGGATTCCCACCACCATTAAACAGCCTGGATTTCCAGAAGGGCTTGACCAGGCCTTTCTCGGGTACCCGGGAGGTTGCTTCCGGTTGATGATATAAATCCTGCATTACCTTAAGGACCCTAGACTATGGGAATCATGGTATATTCTTTATTGTGGGTAATGCAGGATTTGTATCATCAACAGTTCCTAATGGTTTTTTGGCTTTGGGGAGCTAATCAGCTAATCCCAGTAAGTTAGAGGCCAAAATTAGTAGTATAGGGCTTTTGGGGCCACTAGACCAGAAGTATTTTAAGGAGCCCCCAAAAATGAAATAGTAATTGTCTAGGCCCCTATAGGAAGCCAGATAGGAAGCAACTTTGATTCCCCCCCTGTATACCCGAAGGTCTGCCAGGGCGCTGCTTCAGATGTTTAGCACTGTGTTGTTACCCATACTTGGAGGGGCAGGGGACTTAGTAAGTAGGTTATATGTAGGGCTATAATTGGGGTACCTTCACTTAGGTTACTTATAACCATACTTATAACCTACTTAGTAAGTCCCCTGCCCCTCCAAGTAGGCCCCATAGTAGTTCCTTTTTGGGATTACTTCATAGGATTCTACATATGGGAGTTTCCGAAAATGAGAGGTACCTTACTTGGGGGTCCTGATAACAAGGATCCTACTATTTAGGGTACCATTTCAGGGTCCCCTATTTTCGGAAACCCCCTTAGAGGAGTCTGCATATGAACCCCCAAAAGGAACTACTTAGGGGCCGATCGGTAAGCGTTCAATGTGATTTGTTGGGCAGGAAGCTACATGCCGCTATGAGGTCCGGCGCGTCTGTAGAATGTGCCGGTACTCGCGGTTCAGAGTAACGCTAGAAAACCCTAAACCCTAAACCCTGAACCCTGAACCCTAAACCCTAAACCCTAAACCCTAAACCCTAAACCCTAAACCCTAAACCCTAAACCGTTAGAGTTCACAGCTCGGGGTTTATATGGTTTGTGCCTGGTGCTCAGGGGTTGGGGCCTCAAAGAAGCTGCACTTGAAGGCAGTAACACAGAAAAAACTATGGAAGAAGCGTAAACCCTAAAAAGGTCAACCCAAGCCCCAACCGTCCCATACCCGACATGCTATACTATAACCCAGGCTGGGAACTCTCAAAGCACTTGATGAAGGAGTAGACCTTAAAGAAGACCCAAAAGACTACTAGGTATTTTGCGTGGGGGATTGATCTCGACTTGGTTGCTGCTCTCCCCACCAGAGCTGTAATGAATGTAGGTGTGGCTGGCTAGCACTCTCCACAGACTGGACCCTGTCTCTCCCTCTTACTTCCACACGTGCGATCCTATGCAGGCAGAACCGGCGGCCGTTCCTTTTGCACTCACTGCCGGCGGCGGTTCGTCTGTGCAACGGGATAGCTCTGATTGCTCAGGATAGAAGACACATATAGCACTTAGCTATGGGCATTGACTTGAGCCAAACGTTGCGTTGGCGGTCACATAGAAAGGTAAAGATGAGGGATGCGTAGCATGCCCCCTAGAGTCGAGGGACGCGTAGCGTGCCCCCTTCTCTTGCACTTTACACGGTCTTGCTCACAGCTCTTATAGTGACACCTTAGAACTTGACAAGGCATCGCAGTCCGTTCGCACCCCCCATGAGTTGCGTCTCCGACGCTGCTCACCCGGAAGATGGCACGATAGGACAGAAGAAAATTCCGCCGCAACGTTGACTTTGAAAATCAGAGCTTTGTATCCCAATTAGAAACGTTGTGACACTCATCTACGTCAGTAACGATCCCCTGAAATGACAAACGAATCAGGCGTCACCGAAGAAAGAAGCATTCGCGATGGCATTCCACGGGCGAAGCTCAGAGGTCACGAACTGATAGGCGAGGAAGATCAGGCGTTGTCTCGCCACCATCTTCGCGTTGACGTAGGATCGCGGTCCCAGGGCCGGAGGTTCTCCTCTGGATACTGGTTCCTTGGCTTTCCTTTGTCCTTGCCTTTGTTTCGGCCTTTGGCGGCGATGTAGTCGTGGTAGGAATTGGTGTTCCAGCCACCATGTTGCTCGCCTCCGGTTCTTCCACGCCCTTTTGAAGGTCCCTTGGATGAAGAAGCGCTTTCACGTTCCTCCGTAGTGACAGGCGTGTCCAGGATGGATGTACCACCTGGAGGAAGATAGTCAGCGGCCGAAATGTGGTGTAGGGCTTCCGTACGCTTTGTCGTCGGGTTTTGCTGTCTCTCAGTTTTGGATCTGTTCAATCTGTCCATGAAATGCGCAGGCATTTGCACACTGTGGTCCACCAGCAAAGCGATGGTCTGGACTGACTGATCAGAATGAGTCAGCAGAATACCGACGGGGTCGATGTACAAGAAGTCCACTGGTCCAGTTGGCGTTGGTCGTAGCACTGAGAATTGTTGGTGTCCCGTCACCATTGGGATCACCTCGCATAGGACGTTCAGGCAACAAAAGTGCATAGCCTTTACATCTTCATCCCTGTCGCTCTTCAAGTAAGTAGTAGGGTTGAAGTTGTCCCTGCCAATTCCCATCATGTTGGCTCCCCGTACAAGTAAAGAAAGCATCTGGTTCGTCCGGAAGCGCTTCAAGGTGTAAGTCCCGTTGGGATCATACTGTTTGAGGTTCTCAGGTTCCTTTGCAAAGCGAATGATCTCCTCATCAGTCACGTCCCTGCTCACACCCGTTTCCCTATCCACTGCCGCCAAAGATCCCCACTTTCCAAGCACATCGTAGCGTTGGCCAAGTGCGAAACTTTCCCTCATCTGAAACAACGGCATAGTCGCCCACTTTGCGAATCCTGACCAGGCTTTGTAGATGGATCGGCATACCACGTATGCCATGTACGACAGAGCGGTCATGTTCGCGTCAATGCAATGGGCATTTCGCTTTCCAGAATAGTAAGATGGCTGCATGGCGGTACGTGCAAGTTGTAGCTCAGGATCGATGTTCAAAGACTGGCCGGTAATGAAGACGGGACGACGTTCCTGTGCGATTGCTTCTGGAACTGCGTCATCAAAGTCTTCTCCAGGCTCGACGTCCATTTCTTCATCAGGTTCCTGTTCTGGATCGTCTTCCGCGATGACAGACGGTTCTGGGATTTCCTCAGGTTCCGCAACGGTCTCTACCTCCATGGCTTCCTGCTCCTCTTCGGGCGCCTCAGGCACTGCGGCTGCTGCGGCTTCCATTGTCTGAGCAATGAAGTCACTGGGGATCTCCGTAGGAGTCTCCCGTTGTGGAGAACCTTGGTAATATCCGCTCGAAATGAACTGTGACCAGCAAGACGTGCATCGGGAGAAACATGCTGGAACGATGTTGTAGCATGCCGGGCATACCCTCATTCTCCGTCCATCCTCGTCTCTGCGTAGGTCTTCGGGTCGCCAATTCTTGATGACAAACTTGATTCCTTTGTCCATGTAGTGATGCCGAACCGTGTTCTCCCTGTGGGACTCCAGGACAGTCGTGAGGTCACGAATGATCTGCTCCTTGCTCGTGTCGTGGGGTCCAGGAGGCATCTCGCAAAGCAATTCCATGATCTTGCTTGGCGTTCGGTATCTCTCGAACTCGGGAAGCAACGGTGATGCATTGTAGTCCAACACCAGCTCTTTCTCCAACCTTTCATCGTAGATCTTTTCCACCAGAGCGAAAGAGTGTGTATCTCGAGGATCAGGGACGCAAAACCATACCTCCTTGACGAAATGGAAAGGTATCGTTCGACCAACGATCATGATGCCGCTGTCTGTGATACGTCCATCTTCTCGTGCAAGATCTTGCGATGGGACATGAAGTACCGCCAGTGGCATGTGCTTGGCGTCTCGTCCGTGTACTCGCATCTTGGTCGTTGCATTCCGGTGATCGAACGGCGCAAACACCCCCCAGTAGCTGTGGAGTCTGCCGCCTTGGTTGCCTCGGAATTGGCGCCTATGGTCGAAGTCCCCGTCGGGGTCCTCCGAACCAGGCATGATGCCTTGCGTGACAATGGAATCCAAGTTGCGGCATGCCGTAGCGTGGAACGCACCTCCAAGACGTTGCAAGAGGGTCATAGATGGAGATATTGCGAACCTGTTCTTGTCCAACTGAAGCAAGTTGTTCTGGGGATCTGAATGCGCAGAGTGACCACTCGTAGCCCGAACTGCCCATGGCTTCACCCAGCCGTTGCATAGGTTCAGGTACCTCTGGCCATGCCGGCAATGGTCGTTGCTCTGGATCTCCGTGATCTGGTCCCGAACTGATACCAACATGTTCGAACCTGCTGATCCAAGAACTTCCGTGCCGGGGTCCTTCACTCTCACACCCAGGAACTGCAACCGAATCTTGGCCTTGTTGCGTTTCGTGGCTGCAATCATGTTCCCCTGGAACAATAGCTGAAGTCTTTCATTGTACACTCTCTTCTTCTGTTGGTCATCGGTCCTTGAGACCCCTTC